GTATTCAATGTTGTAGTAACAAGTGCCTGGCTTGAATTGTGGGCAACAGTATTATTGGCCTAATTCCATTGGTGGTCCATCAAGTGAGACATAGGTCCAATCCCTCTTTGCCTCTAAAGGGGTAAGAGACATATGTTATCTCTATTACGGTGATCCTTCAACTCTTCGTTGATGATCTTGCGCCTCATCATCTCTAGCAGAGCATTATAACTAGTGGGGTCCTATAGAAGTCTACTATATCAAATCTCGGTTGTCCAACTTAAAGTCAAGTAGAAGTCTATATACTTCACATTTGAGAAAGAGCCTCTCAAGCTCATGTAAGTTTTAAGGCTGTTGAGGTGCTTGGCCAGATCACCTTTCCTGTCATACTTGGGAATCTTAAGTGGCACACAGTATCTTGGAACTAGAGTATTCATCAATCCATGTGAAATGGTAAGTTATTATTATCGTCATCAAGGTTGCAGAACCTCTGAGGTTTGCAGAAGTCTTCTTCCTCTTCGGCCTAACGCCTAGGAAGTGGTTGGGATGGGCTATTTGATTCCTTGTTTGTTCCTCCCTTCTCTGACTCCTATTTCTAGGTGGAGGATTTGGTAGAGCCTGGTTTTCCATGTTTCCATGCTACATCGAGAATGGGAGAAGTGGTGATGTTGAGGCCTATTTCTAGTGCTTGAGGTAGCTGGGACAACCTATTTATAGGTCACCTCGGGCTGAGCCTATCAAACACGCTTAAAGACCTCTGAGGCCTGGTTGAATGGAGTTTCGAAAGGTCGGCCATATGCATAATTTGAGGATATGTTTGCTCCTATCTCTCTTACTATAAGGGTTCGTCCCTTGCATAATGAGGGGAGGCAGCCCTTTTACTTTAGACATTGTCCTCTTGGGGATAATATTCTATTGTGGCACATGAGGATGGAATGGTCGCCCCCTTGGTTCTGGACCTACCTAAGGAGCTCTTGCATGACCATGTTCTATAGAGTTATGATACTCATATTGGTAGCCATGGTTGCCGTTTCTCTAATAAGCTAGGATGCCACCCTCATTCCACCTTGTTTATGTCAGTGGTGGGGTCAACGACGGCCCATTGGGGCAACCCGGGAAAGATCCCATTCTTCAAGGTTTTCCCTTACCCTCCTAGGTACCACATCTTCATTTTTCAGAGCTCATGTCTGGAATTCCCTTTCTTCGAAACGAGCCTTTATAACAATGTATTCTTGTCTAAAAATACTCCTTTAGAAAATCAAGCACTAAAATTTTGGGAATATTTCCATTGGTACGTCCACTTGTCCTCTTGCAAGAACAAATCCTTTTTCCAAATGCTGATATCCAAAGGGTTTTTTGGCTTTTTCTACCAAACATTCATGGTTAGAATGCGTACACTTTTCTCAGAAACAACGCCAATTTGCAGACCTAAAAGAGACTCAATAGAAACTCGAGCCCACTCGCGTCCACATAAGTAGAAACCAAGTTCCATGTAAGAGGAATCATTTTTTGAGACACGAGCCAACATAGTGTTTGGGCTCCAAAGGTGAATCAACACTATAACTAGATGAAATACTACTAGATCAAATTCAAACAAGCAAGTAATATTGCATATGAAAAGCTAGAGAGAGAAGTGAAGTTTTTAGTATTTAAAATTATATTAGCCATAAAATGATACAAAATTGGGTATTTATAACATTACAATTGAAGATGTGACCATTGGATGAAGCACGCGTGGCTTCATCCGACCCACTGGGACGTCCCATCACCCACTTGCCCTAAGCAGCACTTGAGTATCTTGGAAAGAGGGAGCCACCCTACAGTGTGTCGATACTTTTGGAGAATAGGCTGACATGAATTGATTTGTTTAGGTTGCAGGTTGTCACACCATTCTCATTCACCAGATTCTCAAAAGATATGGAGAGCCTTCTTTACTTCGAAGTCCTTAGAAGCTGGGAGCTTTGGATGACATGGCTTTGGTGAGGGACTTCGTCGACGAGGGCTTCATTGTCGTATGTGTGCTTTGGTAACTGTACATCGTCACAATGGCTCCATGTGGGATGCTACATGGCAACCATTCGAGTCTCGTTTTCGAAGCGTAACATATTTATTGAAGATTTTTTTAAATATTTAATTAATTTATAATTATTTCAATCTCGTTATATTGGACAATCATTCGATGGCCGCTCGATGCTCCGCCCTAACTCACTCGAGCAGCTGGATCTATCCCTAGCCTGGTGTTTCAATAGAATCAATTGAACTCAAGATAGCTACATTAAATACGTTAGAAGAATTTGATCGGGTACATATAATTAATTGTTATAAAAATTGGTGGTTGAGATTAAGGGAATAGTTATAGTGAACTCACGAATCCAAACAATTAAATCTTCATATTAAGATATTAACTTTTATTGTTTTAGTATATTTAAAATAAAAAATCACAAAAAAACTACTATTTCTTTTCAATCAAATTGAAGTCCATGGACATATTTAGAAGGGACTCACCTGGGCTGTAGCCCGGTCTAGTCCTTGGCTCGTTAATATTTTTTTTAGTGTGAATTCTTTTCTTGTAAATATTTTTTTTGTGTAATTTTATTTTTTTCTTCACATTAGTCCGGCTTGTAGTTCGGTCCTAAATTCATTTCCGTTGAAGCCCCTGTTTGACTCCCTTTAAAACAAAACAATTTATTTTTCATACTCATTTTCAACCATACATTCATACAATAAAATATTTTGCACGTAAATCCAAAAATTTTTCCCATTTTTTAACCGCATATTCTCAAAAAAATCCACTATTCAAAACATCATTTTACCATGTTAATGATTGTCAAGTAGGGGCGAAGTTACGAATAATTTAACCAATTGTTAGATAGTAATTCTCATATGAATGATAATCCGGACTTTTAGGTCCACTTTATTATTTGTTACAATCCTTACACTTACAAGATATAAAATCGACAACATGGTAAAAGTTGGGGACCTTTCTTATAAATATCATGCCAATGTCATTGATTAAGGATGCATGGAGCAGAAAGAAATTTGAACACTGCTACACTGCTAGGGCCCATCTGGCCCTGGCAGAGTGGATTAACCCAAGAAAATTTGGGTCACTGGTATTTCTTCGTGCAACTAGGGAGTGAGTGCGAAAGAGACATAATTAAATATTAATAAAAAATCTCGTTATATTGGACAATCATTCGATGGCCGCTTGATGCTCCGCCCTAGCTCACTCGAGCAGCTGGATCTATCCCTAGCCTGGTGTTTAAATAGAATCAATTGAACTCAAGATAGCTACATTACATACGTTAGAAGAATTTGATCGGGTACATATAATTAATTGTTATAAAAATTGGTGGTTGAGATTAAGGGAATAGTTATAGTGAACTCACGAATCCAAACAATTAAATCTTCGTATTAAGATATTAACTTTTATTGTTTTAGTATATTTAAAATAAAAAATCACAAAAAAAACTACTATTTCTTTTCAATCAAATTGAAGTCCATGGACATATTTAGAAGGGACTCACCTGGGCTGTAGCCCGGTCTAGTCCTTGGCTCGTTAATATTTTTTTTAGTGTGAATTCTTTTCTTGTAAATGTTTTTTTTGTGTAATTTTATTTTTTTTCTTCACATTAGTCCGGCTTGTAGTTCGGTCTTAAATTCATTTCCGTTGAAGCCCCAGTTTGACTCCCTTTAAAACAAAACAATTTATTTTTCATATTCATTTTCAACCATACATTCATACAATAAAATATTTTGCACGTAAATCCAAAAAAATTTCCCATTTTTTAACCGCATATTCTCAAAAAAATCCACTATTCAAAACATCATTTAACCATATTAATGATTGTCAAGCAGGGGCGAAGTTACAAAGTTACGAATAATTTAACCAATTGTTAGATAGTAATTCTCATATGAATGATAATCCGGACTCCTAGGTCCAATTTATTATTTGTTACAATCCTTACACTTACAAGATATAAAATCGACAACATGGTAAAAGTTGGGGACCTTTCTTATAAATATCGTGCCAATGTCATTGATTAAGGAAGCATGGAGCAGAAAGAAATTTGAACACTGCTACACTGCTAGGGCCCATCTGGCCCTGGCAGAGTGGATTAACCCAAGAAAATTTGGGTCACTGGTATTTCTTCGTGCAACTAGGGAGTGAGTGCGAAAGAGACGAGCTAGAGAGAGAAAATTGAGAAAATATAACAAGAAATACGAGCATATTTGTATGGTACGTTGAACATTTTAGTTTTGTGTTCAGAAAAATTGAGAGAGTGAGAAAACATTATATTTTGTGGTTTTTTCATCGAATAAAATCTTCTCCTTCTATGATTGTCGGCACTTTGAGTATAATTTATCTTTTTTCTTTCTATTCGTTTTTGTATTTTTGGTTTCCACCGTGTTGCATGTGGTGGAATTTTTTTCCTACATTTTATAAAGAGTGATGCCACAAGAACACAATTGTCTACATAATGGTCTACATAATTTTAAGTGGCATTGATCAAAACCTTTAATTCAAATCTGACACTTTCACATCAACGACTAAATGATTGTCACATCACATTATGTCATTCATTATATACATTTATTATGTACACTTAGCATTTTCCTTTTATAAATACTATTTTCTGAATTTGTAATGTTTTCTTAGCAAGGAAAAATTTAATCTTGGAAAACCATTTTAATATAAACAAAAAAGAAAAAAAAAATGAAAAATCATTCTGACGTTGCATAACAAAAAAATCTGTTGTCCCATTCTTCGGCTTAAGTAATGGCTAATCGTCCCTTGCCTAGATCAACAAAAGAGTAATTTATACACTTTTTCAAGCTTAGTACAACATGAACTAAGAACAAAATGCAAAGGAAGTGCTTTTTTTATTCCAGAAATTTACATCAAGAAAATGGACAAAATCAACTTGCACTTGAAACATGTTTCAATCTAATCTTAAAGAAACTCGAACGGGAATTATATTTTGCACATTATTATTTGATGATGCAATGATTGATTATTTTTAAGCCCATTTGGCCATGACAGACATCCCTCCTGCACCCAACAAAACAGCTATATACGATTTGATTTGCAGCTTGATGCTACTTTGTAACTTTGGTCCCATGAAATCTGCTGCAAGAAGATCCACCATAGCCATGTAAATCAAAAGGCCAGCCGATGAGGCATTAAGCAAACCAACAGTAATCAAAGCGCGAGGGCTATTTTCTTTGTAAGTAGTCGATAGTGCCATTCCAAGCGCGATGCCAAATGGGGTTGTTACAGAGAAGAAGAAGGCCATTACAGCCTTCTTCACAAACTTGTACTCGGCCTGCATACATTTCAAAATCCATTAATTTATGGGAGCATTATTAGCGCAGAAGTGCAAAGCAACTAATTCTAGAAATAAGCAATTATTTTATTGCTTGGTTTATGCATGATTAACCTGGAGAATGCAACCACCAAGTCCCATTCCTTCAAACATTTGGTGAAAGCATAGTGCAGCTACAAGTCCTTTAATTGAGCAAGTGTTGTTGGATGCTCCAAGAGAAATCCCTATCACAATTGAATGAACGATGATTCCCAACTCCATAACCTGCCAAAATATTTCATCTAGCTAGTATTAATTATTTTATTTCCTTAATTATAAAAAATGTGTTCTATATATAACATCAGAAATAAAATAACACTTGGAAAATGACATTATCGTTAGTAAGATTAAATAAAAAATCACATCTTTGTATCAGCTGCATCACAACTACATATATCTTCAAAGAGCTCATCATACCCCAGCATCACCTGCATCGCAGCTGCATATATCTCTGGGGAGCTGACCTCTATTTATTCCTCCCTTCGCGAGAAGCCTCATTTCACGAGATGATTAATCTATTTATTCCTCCCTTGGTGAGAAGCCTCATTTCACGAGATGATTATCTATTCATTCATCCACTCATGAGATGCCTCATTTCTCAAGATAATTGACCAATTTATTTATCCTTTGACATGGATAAATCATCCACCATACAAGGAAAATTTGTCGCTTCGACAAGAATCGTATAGAGCATTTCCAAAGGAAACCCATCTCGAAACCTACAAAGCTAACCTCTATATTCAAAGCCTCACCTCTACACCAACTTCGTCACAACTGCTTATCTTTCGAGCATCGCCTCTTCATCAGCGTTGTCACAGCTCCTTATCTTTAGAGTCTCGCCTTAGCCCCAAAAGTTCACGCATTATATGAATATCAATACCTAAACTTGGGTAACTATTGTCGTACTAATATCCTAGTAGAATTACATTATTATTGCTACCAGTACGCATACCACTTCACTGCAGCATGTCATGATGTTATTTTAACTGCTACCAGTAGACATGCCACGTTATGTACATGATCATTTTATTATCGTCAGCCTGTACTTCACACTAGCAATAATGTTAAACTAACCTGTGCAGCACATGATTTGTTATAATATATGATAGGCTCTCTCTGCATGTTCTATTTTGGAGAAATTTGATTTACTGTTATTCACTTTATCATTATGAATATTTTAAAGGATAAATGGGCTCCAATTTATTTTCTTTATACACAATGGAGATATTATATTGTATTTCAAGTTGGTTTAGTCCATATTACAAAAGTGACACTATCGAATTTTTGTAAATCATAAAGTAATATTTAAGAGGCAGTTCGTAAGCCCTCATTTATTAGAGTTTGCTCATATTTCAAAGGACATCTATAAGCCCTCATCTTTCGGAGACTATTTGCACACTTTCATCTATTTACAACAGCTCATATTTTCGAGACAATTCGTAAACTGTCCTAGTTGACAACTTATATTCAAAAGTTCGATCGCACGTGAATGTATGAATCAGACTTGGGAGACTATTGTTATATCTATAAATTACTTGGAGTGCACGTGGAAGAGGAGGTACCACATTGAGTGACTAGACATCAATAATTAATTGGATTGAACCTATTTAATCAAGCAACATTGTCTTGGGTTTGAGCTCGGTTCATTAGCTCCACTTGACTCATTTCCACATCTCTATATATATGTGAGATCATTTCACACGCTAGGTAATTTTTTTAATCCCAGTGAAATCCTCCTCTCTCGTCTCTTGCACTAATTATCTCTCATTCGATTGTTGATTTGACCGTCGGAGTGAAAATAGGGATGGCAAAAATATCCGTTTAACCCGAAATCCGTGGGGCCCCACCCCGAACTGGGCGGGGATTACTCGTCTAATCGGTTAAACGGGGCGATTGTCATTGCCACGAAACAGGTATGACAATCATAGTTCCCGCCTCATTACCCGTCTCGTTTAAAGTTAATTTTAAATCTAAATTTTTTATCAAACAAAAATAATAGATTTATCATATTTTTAAAGAGAACATAAATTGTTTCTAATAAATTGGTAAAAAAATAATAATATTTACTAAGTAAAGACATAAAAAAAAACAAAAAATAAAATAAATAAAAAATAAAAAGAAAAAATAAATGGGTCGATAAATGGGGCAGAGAACCTGCCCCACCCCGCCTCTATCTTACCCCGAATTAGTCCTGTCCCGCTTTAAACGAGTGTGGGGATGGGACAAGGTAACAAAAATACCCGATGGGACGGGGGTGAAAATGCTCATCAGACCTTTTTTCTCGGTTGGTAGCCTTTGCCTCCTAACGGCGTATTCTAGTCATATGTAGGTGATGTCTACATGGAGAGGAGGTGGTTGTGATTCTATTGGCCACTCGATCCACCAAATTTTGAGATCAACATATACGTATAAATCAATTAATATAAATAAAATATTGATTCAGAAAATTACTAACCATAGCAATTACGCGGTAACGGAGAAGTTGTGAACCCTCAACATCAAGTTTGGCACCGTAGTGGTGGTGGCCATGAGAATGCGCAGCTTGCACTACAGCCATCTCTCGATCTCCTTGAGACTCAGGAAGAACTTCATTCTTGTTTTTCTTAGAATATATACTTGTTGTCATAGAGTCTACCATCATTGTAACTATGGCAGACAACATGGCGACGAATCCAGTGAAAGGGAACTTGTGCCACGGATTTTCCTTCAAGCAACTGGACGACAACATGTCGAATGAATCTGGTAAAACGTGCATGAACCCAGTAGCCAAAATGATACCTGCCGCGAAACACTTAACGATCACAAAGAGACTTCGTTCAGGGCTAAGGGCCGGGACTGAGCGCGTAAGTAGGGGTAAACACACCCCAATCATGCTCGTGATGAGAATGGAAAATATGGCTATGATCTTGAGCGGCAAGGCTTTCTTTTTGTTGTTGCAGCTGTTGGTTTCTTCTTCACCACACTCTTTAACTACTGCGAGGACTTGAACTGAGAACAAGGAAATCAAGAGGAAGAAGATGGAGATGATTTTGAAGTGTTTGGAAGCCATTGACCCTCGCTCTTTCGATCTCCTTGCTAGCTATTTGATTTGTTTTCTAAATTTATTTGGTTTTCCAATATCTTGGTGCCAATCTATATATAGAATTTTTTGCATAATCTGCTTCAGTTTAACTAAAGGAATATTAAATTATAGTTGCAACTTGAAAACAAGAAGTAAACGCCTAGGGTTATGGCTTTCGATTTTAATAAATGATGGCTAGGCTATTTGTTTGGGAGCCATTGGTTAAGGATTGGGAGGGAGGTATGCTTGAGGCGGGCACGTGTTTTGAAGCTGATGTGGCAACTTTGGTTTCTATGGCCGTACATAAGACACGTGAAGTACTGTTCGACTTGTCATATAAAGTCAAATCTCCAAAATAATGCTATTTTTAATATAAATGGTGTTACAACACAAATTTAAGTGGCTACATTTTATAAGTTCTATAAATAAGTAATGCGACTTTGTATTTAATTGAATATATCATTTAATATCATATAATTGCTATCTAAATGGGTACTTAACACCGCTAATGATTAATAGCAATTCGAATTAATTTATTTCAAAAATTATTTAATTGCAAATATTGCATTTATTTAATAAATTAAAAAAAGCATTATGCTATTCCACAATTAAAAAATATTAAATTTTAAGCACAGAATAAAAAATTACATAAAATAATAAATTATATTTTAAATATTAATTAAATTAAATCCTTAAATAATAAAAGGATATAATAGGAATTATTATTTGTTGTTGAATAAAATGAATGACAAAATGAGAATTATGAAACAAATCTAAAAATCACATCAAATGAATAGAATAGTGTTGATTGCAACGTATTGGTGTAGAAATTTGGTGTTAGAGTGGAGTGATTTTCTACACCAAATGACGTTTTACACAAGTTTGATGTTGTGGTTGGAGATGTCTTAAGATAGCTAATAAAATTTTGTAATTTATTTTAGTAAATAATATGTTCGATGAATGAGTTTTGAAGATGAAATTGAGGCTAGATCTATTGTTCTTTTACCCGTCTCTCACTAGAGCTTTGCCGTCTCATTACAATTTTAAATTGACGATTTTGAAGTGACACTAAAAAATTGTAGTGATTCTCAAAATTCTAGTGAGAGACCACATATCTTAACACCAAATTTTCAGAAATCTCGAACAAGGATTCTGCACAAGTCTTCAACATGAAATTCGAAGCCAAATATACAAATTCACCAACTTTCAAGCAAGACTACTACTCCATAATGTTCTTAATTATGTGTCATTGACAGAGAAAATTTATCATGATATATCTATGTTTGTCTGCAGGTATTTTGCGTTAATAAATGCAATAGCAAGTCGTTATAATGCTCTTTTTCCCTTCCAAGAGTTATTGTGGGCACTTGATTTTGGTTTTTGATTTGGTAATAGATGTTATTAGAGTTTCTAAACTACTAAACCAACTCGTCTAGAACCTCAAAATTCATAGAGAGGACTGTTTAAAACACAATTACATTTCCCGTCCAATCATCTGTTGTCACCTGCACTTCTGTCACTGCATCTGTCAAAATACTTACAGCAAAGTGGCATAATTCTTATTAGATTAACTTCAACAAGCCTCTTTTGCGCATACCAATTCATTTTCTTCATCAAAATTCAAACACTAGCACAATTTGTAAAACCTATGGCTTTTCAATGTGGGGAACCCCCTTAATAGGGCTTATTACAAGAACCTTCTCGCTTCGACTTACTCAAAATTTAAAATAAAGGGAATCTTATTTACAAACTTTTTTTATAATTTTTAAATTTTTAGATGAGATGTTCAACATTTCTTCACAGTTTCTTGGTTAAATATAGGCTAATTAGAGTGTTATTTCTGAAAAATTTTGAAGATTTGTAAAAAGTGAGATAATTACATATTTTAGCATTCATATAGTTACAACTTTGATAGTAATAATGGTGCCGTTGTATTAAAGAATTACTTGACCCATAAGTTTGAAATTAATTTTCACAGGAAATAGCAAATATTCAAGAACGACACTAAAGGAGAGACAACCAAATGGCATTTTTTTTAGTATTATCCATCTCCATATTTTCCGTGGCTTAATTTAACCCCATTTGGGACCCATTATTTGTCATTTTAATTTTTGGAATAATATTTTTTTAAAATAATGATTTGTTAAAAAAAAAGTTTTGATTTTACGTATAATATTATTTTATTAAAAATTGTTTGGTTGATAAGAAAAGAGAGAAACATAATATAATTTTAATGGGCCAAACATGATTTAACAATAATGTTTATAATGCCCAGATCATGACAGGTCGTAGGTATATTGTTCTGTTTCAATTTTGACTTTTGATTTTGTCCTGTTACAAGCGAACGAATTTTATTGACGTCAATTATTCTTATTCTAACTTTTAAATTATACTAAGACATGTTTGATTATAATAAATTCCATGTAAAATGAATTTAAGGAAAACGAATTTCATTTTGAACGTTTGATTGCAACGTGAAAATGGAAATCGAATTTCAATATATAACCACTTTAATCTACATTTTCTTTGTTTTCATGCAAAACAAATTCTTATGGATTTGGTGAGTTTTATTTTCCAACTAATATGAAATTAAAATTTCTTTCCACATTTACCTATCAAACGAATCCTAAATTCAATAGAAAATTTTCAATTTAGCCTTGATCCTGTTATTTTAAGTACAAATAAATAAATTCTTAGCATCTGATATGGTGAAAAAACACAAATCAGAATACAGCTGTCCAATCCATTCCCAAAAGTCAACTAATAAATAGTTAGGCATAAAAATAACTAACATGTTTAATTCAACCAACTCATTTTAAACGATAAATTTGGCTCAACGACTCAAGTGGCCCGTGGTTCGACCCGAGAAAAGTCCGAACCGACCTGACTCGTGGCTTGAAAAAACCGAGCCCCATTTTTGGGTCTTAGCTAGAGCCCGACCAAGCCAGCCCATGTGGCTAGTTGAGCCACAAGGGTCATTTTCGGCCCAAAACCCAAAAAAAAAAATGAAAAGACAGCACTGCTGTCTTGTGCAAGTGTTGCCACTAGCTTGTTAAGGCAGAAATAACTGTTTTGACCTCCATTCAAAATTGCAAATTTCATAAAAAAAAGGGTGAGCGGAGCCGAAAGTCGAAAGTTTGGGTCAAACCTAAATTTTTTGGTCAAGCAAGAGCGCAGCTCGATTGAAGGCAAAAAAAAGTTCGAACCATTTTTACTCGAGTCGAGCTCGAGTTCGACTCGAGTTTTGAGTTTCGACGGGCGAGGCGGCCCAAGTCGACTTGTTGATATCCGTACGTTTACTGGAGATTAAAGTAAAAAAACACAATAGTTTAATGAATAGGAAAGAGAGACAATCAAATGGCATTTTCTTAGTATTATCCATCAAACCATGATAATAATTTAATAATAATGTTTACAATCACCGCACCATGATAGGTCGTATGTATATTGTTAATCTGTTTCAATTTTGACTTTTGATTTTGTGCTGTTTCATGCAAACGAATTTTATTGGCTTCAATTATTCTTATTCTAGCTTCTAAATTATACTAATTCAACATTCGACATCGTCTGATCACTAAGGCCGACTTTCATCCTTACTCGATGGATGGATCTTGCAGTCAAGCTCCCTTCTGCCTTTGCGCTCGAGAACCAATCTCCGTCTAAAAAATTTTCAATTTAGTCTTGATCCTGTTATTTTAAGTATAAATAAATAAATTCTTAGCATCTGATATGTTAAAAAACAAAACAAATCAGAATACAGCTGCCCAATCCATTCCCAAAAGTCAACTAATAAATAGTTAGACATAAAACATAACTAACATGTTTTAAGTCAATGCTTTTGTTCCATTCTTCAAAAAAAAATTTTCTCAAACTCATTGTCAACAATAAATTCTCCTAATAAAATAATTTATACGCAAATTCAAAAATTTTCTCAACTTTTTAACCACGCATTCTTAAAAAAAAAAAAAAATTCATTTTTACAAAATTCATTTCCTCCAAAAAAATAGAGTTCAAACAAAGCAAAATAAATTCTTAGCATCTGATATGTAAAAAAACAAAACAAATCAGAATACAGCTGCCCAATCCATTCCCAAAAGTCAACTAATAAATAGTTAGACATAAAACATAACTAACATGTTTCAAGTCAATGCTTTTGTTCCATTCTTCAAAAAAAATTTTTCTCAAACTCATTGTCAACAATAAATTCTCCTAATAAAATAATTTATACGCAAATTCAAAAATTTTCTCAACTTTTTAACCACGCATTCTTAAAAAAAAAAAAAAAAATTCATTTTTACAAAATTCATTTCCTCCAAAAAAAAATAGAGTTCAAACAAAGCATAAATATTGGTCCTAACGTTAGGGCCATTTTACAAATCACGACTTCAAGGTTCCAGACACTTCCTCATCTGAAGAGGTGGATTAACCGAAGGTGAAAGTGAGAAGTTTGTGAATGGTGTCTTCACCACGTCCCAGTTGGTAGGGAAATGAGGAGTAAACTGTAAGTAGGGAACCTGAAAGCCTATTAACCTGTTTGATGTAGATTGAAATCAGATTTTTAGAAGATTTTAATAAAAATTGAGAAAATATGTGTTTGAAAAGTTGTGAATCACATGAAATGTGTGGTTAAAATTAATTGTTGATTTTGACTTGGGATTAAAATCAAATTTTAATCAAAACAAAACATGGTATATAAAATAGGCTTCCAAGCAGTGGCAAAAGCAAACATTTTAAATTATAAGATACAATCAAACTTTTAAAAAAGTTCTGAAAAAATTAAAGCATTACATATCTTATTATCTCAAAAATTAAAGAATTTCATAGCTTGTCAAATACAGCAAATAAATTATTTGGATACAAACACGCAAAACAAAGAAGCAAATCATTGTTTACCTAAATTTGAATCCCTAAATTTCAATTTGTATTAATTGAGTTACCCGACATTAATTTTGTTTCAAAATTCAGACGATTGTGTAAGGAACAAATCT